CACACAAGCACAAGCACACACACACAAGCGCAAGCACACACAAAAGCACACACACATACCGGAAGATGTCCTCCTTTGTTCCGCCAATCTCCTGCAAGTGGTGAATGAGATCGCGGAGGAGGGCGATGCGCTGTGCATACGGGCGGCGCGTCGGGATGGCGCTATCGATGGCGTGCACCCACCGCTTTCGCTCCTCCTCACTGCCACATCAGGGGTGACGAGGTCGAGTGGTCGCAAAGGGCGGAGTGTGAGAAGCAGAAAAATAGTTGCCTGATTGTTTGAGTGGCGCAGGCACATGAACACACACACGGACACACACGGACACACACAAGGACACGCACACACATGGACACGCACACACATGGACACACACACACACACACATAGCACAGCAAACAGCAGCGACTGACTTTGCAGCAGACATGATGTACACGCGTGCGCCGGGTTTTTCGGGCACCAGCTCAATGCCGCACGACTTCTCCTTCAGCCTTGCAGACCGGCAGAGCTTGTAGTCAGCGAGGTCAAGCAGGCCAAGCGGTGTCTAGTTGGTCGTGGTCGTGGTCGTGGTCGTGATGTTGGTTCGTGGATGGAATCGGGGGAGGAGGAGACACGTGAGTGAATGAAGGAGTGAATAATATGAGACAAGAACGGATCCCAGCAAGCTGAACAGTGAAGAATGAAGAATGGCGCTTGCACATGACAAGGAAAGCACACCCTTGACGCCTGTCAAGAAACAACCCATCACCATCACCATCACCATCACCATCACCATCACCATCACCATCACCATCACCATCACGGCCAATGACAAAAACGCGCACACCTCGGACGAGGCTGACTTGAAGTAGACAAGCTCAGAGTCAGCGAGCACAAACCAGCGCAGCTTCCACGACTTGTGGCTCCCGCCCTCCTGTTGGCAGAGAAGGGCAGCAACAACAACAGCAGCAGCAGCAGCAGCAGCAGTAGTAGTTGTAGTTGTAGTTGTCGTTGTAGTAGTTGAAGTCATAGTCGGAGTGGTGGTGGTGGTGGGGATGATGATTGTGAAGCTGGATGAGCAGGAGGTACTGATGGTGGTGGGTGGTTGGACAGTCACCAAGACGCAAGTCGCACACACACATACACATACACACACATACACACACATACACACACATACACACACATTAATACATCTGCGCACATCTGCATATCTGCGCACCTTCATGAGGAACCCCTCCATCACGGACTGGGCCGGCTCGGAGCGGCTGCGACCCTTGAACTTGCGCCGGGACACTTTTGAACCACAGGGGATCATCAGTTTCTTGTCCATCGCAACCACCGCCTGCGCCGCAGCAGACAGTTGCTCTGTTAACAGCGGTGGTGGAAGTGGTGGTGACAGTGGCAATTGTGGCGGGAGCGTGAGAGGCGCGAAGAGTGATGAAGGCGGCGAAGGATGGTGGGGTGAGCAGCGAAGACAAACGTGAAGCGCACTTTGCACGCACGTGCAAGTCAGAACAACAAATTCGGCAAGCAAAGTAGCGCATGCACGTCCACGTGTGTCATGTTCACCTTGGGCTGTGTCTGACCGGACCATCATCGTGCGAAGTGTTTCTGGAAACAAGGGGGAACGCCATCACAGGGCGCACGTGGCATAATGAGGAATGGAAGCGATGCAAAGACACATGGGAGGGGAGTAACGCGCAAGTAACACACACACACACACAAACAAACAAACAAGCAAGCAAGCAAGCAAGCAAAGCAAAACAAAACAAAACAAACCAAACCAAAACAAACCAAAACAAACCAAACCAAACCAAACCAAAACAAAACAAAACAAAACACGCATCTATGCGGAAGTGGAGCAAAACATGTGACACCAATCTCAGCACGCACTTGGAGATGAGGCAACATCCCTGTCCTTCTGCAATCATCACCGAAATGCAGACACACATGCATAAAGACGCATGTGATGAGCAACGTAATGTTCACGCGTGGAGCTGTGGGCGTGTGTGCATGGTGAAAGCAAGCACACACTTGCAGCAGCAGAGGAGAGCGAAATCGCACAAAACCTGCCAATCACACCCAACAACAAACGCCCAACACCACAACTACAACCACAACCACCACAACTACAACAAACCCTCCTCCCCTGTTACCACCCCCTTTTTATTGTTGTTACCTTGATCTTGGTCATGGGCCCTTCTTTCGGAGAGATGAGTTTGATGACAGGCTGGTTGTCCGGCACAGGATAGTTCTGAACATGATTTGGTGTTGATCGGTTTGGTGTTGGTGTGGTATGGTTGGACGTGAGGCTGAGGAAAATCAAGAGAAAGGGCCATGTGTATGGGTGCATGTGTGCACGTATGTGTGTATGTCTGTGTGTGCGTGTTGCATGACGACGCGAAAACGTGTGCAGTAGCAGCACATGCCGCTTGTTGCACGTGTGTGTGTGTGTGTGTGTGTGTGTGTGTGTGTGTGTGTGTGTGTGTGTGTAGTAGTTGTTGTGTCGCTACGTAGTTAG